CTTTTTGATATATGTATATTGTATATTTCCAGAAATAGTTCAGTGACATCTCATATAGATGGACCAGTTTCTTATTGCAACTCAGACTGCAATTGTGATGAAAGGCAATGGGAACCAGTCTGTGGAAACAATGGAATAACTTATATCTCACCTTGTCTAGCAGGTTGCAAATCTTCAAGTGGTAATAAAAAGCCTATAGTGAGTATTAGTTTTTATTTTTCTTTCCTTATTCAAAAGCACAAATTAGATTGAACAATTTCTTATTAAATCATTCTGTAACTAAGGACTCCATTAAAAACATAAAAAAGAAAGTTTCCAATATTATCTGTTATTCTGATGGCTGTGATGTTGTATAGACAAAGTTTTATATAAAAGTCTGCTTAGGGCACAATCAGGTTTTTCTGTTACATGAATTCTAATTGGATATCACCCCACTTTTTTCCTTTGAGATTATAAGACTATGACCTTTTAGAATTTGAATGCGTTTAAGATATCTACGAAGCACCTTATTTGACTGAAGCCTATAATTTTCATTAAGTTGGAATTACTTTATCCTTCAGAATTCAGGAAAATGTCCTGAGTTAACCCATTGTCAGCACTTTCTGTCTTACTATGACAGCAATCAATATACAATGTTATATACATAATCTGATCTCTTTAGCCCTGGGCTCTGTACCCTTTTTACTTTCTAAGAAATTAATCAAGGCTTCATGCTCACTTAACTGCCCTAGTCTTGATTTTCTTTGTTGATTTCTCCAAAGCTGGCGCGTCTACCCAAGATAATGTAAGTATCCTGCTCACCTATTGTCAATATATCTCGTAGAAATGTCATTTCTTTCTTCTTGCAAAACCTTTCTTTCCATGTGAACTATAGTTTTTCTCTAATCTCTTATGTCTATCATTGCGAATGGATTATGGTGTTTCCCGTACCTACAATCCACTCAACATTTCACAAAGTTGTGATGTTTTCCTAGGAACTTTTCTTATTACCAACATTAGTGAAACACCTAGGATTATTGCTGTCTGCCACACCCTTCTGTGTTTTATTTTTAAACATTCTCTATCTAGTCTTGCCCATGGACCTACCAATTGTAATATGGAAGGGAATGTAGAACTTCAAAGAATAAATCATCCTGGGCTTTTTGAAGATAGGCCACAACTTTTAAAAAATTGCACAAATAGGGCCCGAAAATCTCTACTTACAAGCCCACATCTCCGTCATGGTAATAATGACTCTCTTGTGCAGTTATTTCCTTTTCCTTTGCTATTTATTTTTATTTTCAAAAAATAATTCAACACTTATTTTAGGTAAAGGTGGTTACAAATGAAGGTGTGTTAATATTGTGACAAGCTGAAGTGAAGTTTAAGATACAATCCTTCCCATCCCCCAGATAGTAAGCATAATACCTAATAATTAGTTTTTTAGTACTTGCTCCTCTTTTTCTCTCTCCACTCTAGTAGTCTGTAGTATGTGTTTTTCCTGTCTTTATATTTGTGTATACCTAGTGATTAGCTTCTACTTATAAGTGAGAAAACGTGGTATTTGATTTTCTGTTCCTATGTCGATTCACTTAAGATAATAACCTCCAGCTGCATTTAGGTTGCTGCATTTAATGTCCCTTAGGACATTATTTCATTCATTTTTATGGTCATGTAGTATTCCAGTGTGTATAGCAATGGCAATAAAAGCCAAAATTGACAAGTTGGATCTTATTAAACTAAAGAGCTTCCGCATAGCAAAAGAAACTGTCATCAGAGTGAACAGGCAACCTACAGAATGGGAGAAAAATTTTGCAATCTAGTCATCTGACAAAGGGCTAATATCCAGAATCTACAAAGAACTTTAAAAAATTTACAAGCAAAAAACAAACAACCCCATCAAAAAGTGGGAAAACTATATGAACAGACACTTCTCAAAAGAAGACATTTATGCAGCCAACAAATATATTTTAAAAAGCTCATTAACACTGGTCATTAGAGAAATCAAAACCACAATGAGATACCATCTCACACCAGTTAGAATGGCAATTATTAAAAAGTCAGGAAACAACAGATGCTGAAGAGGATGTAAAGAAATAGGAACACTTTTACACTGTTGGTGGAAGTGGAAATTAGTTCAGCCATTGTGGAAGACAGTGTGGCAATTCCTCAAGGATCTAGAACTAGAAATACCATTTGACCCAGCAACTGCATTACTGAATATATACCCAAAGGATTATAAATCGTTCTATTATAAAGACACATGCACACTTATGTTTATTGCAGCACTGTTCACAATAGCAAAGACTTGAAAGCAACCCAAATGCCCATCAAAGACAGACTGAATAAGGAAAATGTGGCACATATATACCTGGAATACTATTTAGACATAAATAAGGATGAGTTCATGTCCTTTGCAGGGACATGGATGAAACTGGAAGCCATTATTCTCAGCAAACTAACACAGGAACAGAAAGCCAAACACCACATGTTCTCACTTATAAGTGGAAGTTGAGCAATGAGAACACATGGACATAGGGAAGGGAACATCACACACTGGGCCTGTTGCGGAGTGGGGGGGCTAGGGAAGGGATAGCATTAGGAGAAATACCTAATGTAGATGACCGGTTGATGGGTGCAGCAAACCACTATGCCACGTGTATACCTATGTAAAAAGCCTGCATGTTCTGCACACATATCCCAGAACTTAATGTATAATTTAAAAAATTAAAAATTTTTAAAAACTATCCCACATTTTAAAATCCAATTCGCTGTTGATGGGCACCCAGGTTGAGTCCATGTCTTTGCTATTGTGAATAGTGCTGTGATGATCATATAAGTAGATGTGTTTTTGGTAGAAGAATTTATTTTTCTTTAGGTATATACCCAGTAATGGGGTTGCTGAGTTGAATGGCAGTTCTGTTTAAGTTCTTTGAGAAACCTCAAAACTACTTTCCACAGTGACTGAACTAATTTACATTTCTACCAACATAAGATAAGCATTCTCTTATCTTACATTGCAGAGGCAGCCTTGCCAGCATCTTTTTTTTTAACCTTTTAGTAATAGCCATTCTGACTGGTGTCATTATGACTAGTGTGAGATGGTATCTCCTTGGGATTTTACATTTTTCTGGCAATTAATGTTGTTAAACATTTTATGTGTTTGTTAGCTGCTTATATGTCTTCTTTGGAGAAGTGTCAGTTCATGTCCTTTGTCTACTTTTTATTATTGCTTTTTGCTTGTTGAATTGTCCAAGTTTCTTATAGATTCTAGGTATTAGTCCTGTGTTAAAAGCATGATTTGCAAAGGTTTTCTCCCATTTCATAGGTTGTCTTTTCACTCTGTTGATTATTTCTTTTGCTGTGCAGAAGCTCGTTAGTTTAATTACATCTCACCTGTCAATTTTTTGTTGTTGTTGCAATTGCTTTTGAGAACTTGGTCACAAATTATTTGCCAAAGCCAATATCCAGAATATTTTCTAGGTTTTTTTCAATGGTTTTTATAGTTTTAGGTTTTACACATTAGTCTGTAATACGTTTTGAGTAAATTTTTTATATGAAAAGAAGGGGTCCAGTTTAATTTCTCTATATACAGTTAGCCAGTTATTCTAGCACCATTTATTGAATAATGAGTACTTTCCCCATTGCCATTTATTTATTTATTTATGCTAACTTCTTTGAAGATCAGATGGTTTTAGTTGTGTGCCTTTATTTGTGAGTTCTCTATTCTGTTCTTTTCATCTATGTGTCTGTTTTTGAACTAGTCCTATGCTGTTTGGTTACTACGGCCTTGTAGTATAGTTTATAGTTTGATGTTAGGTAATTTGATGCCTCCCACTTTGTTCTTTATGCTTAGGATTGCTTTGACTATTCAGTCTCTTTTTTCATATTGAATTTTACAATAGTTTTATTCTAATTCAATGAAAAATGATGCTGGTTGTTTGATAAGAATACCATTGAACCTGTTGATTGCTTTGGGCAGTATAAACATTTCAATGATATTTTTTCTACCAATCCATGAGAATGGAAGGTTTTTCCACTGGTTTATGTCACCTATAATTTCTTTCATCAGGGTTTTGTATTAATCCTTGTAGAGATCTTTCACTTCCTTTGTTTAAATGTATTCCCAGGTATTCAATTTATTGTGGTTATTCTAAATGGAACTGCATTCTTGATTTGGGTTTAAATGTTATTGGTATGTAGAAATGCTACTAATTTTTTTCCATTGATTTGTATTCTGAAACTTTATTAAAGTCTGTTGTCAGTTCTAGGTGCCTTTTGGCAGAGTCTTTAGGGTTTTTCAGATATAGAATTATAAGTGCAGAGTGACAATATGGCTTCATTTCTTATTTGTCTGTGTTTTATTTCTTTCTGTTTCCTGATTGATCTGTCTAGGATTTTCAGTACTATGTTGAATAAGAGTGGTGAGAGTGAGCATCCATGCCTTGTTCCTGTTCTTAAGGGGAATGCTTCCAGCTTTTGCCCATCATATATGATGTTGGCTGTAGTTTTATCATAGATGGCTCTTACTATTTTGAGCTATGTTCCTTCAATGCACAGTCTGTTGATGAATTTTATCATAAAGAGATGTTGGATTTTATTGAAAGCTTTTTCTGCATCTATTGAAATGCTCGTATAGTTTTATTCTAAATTCCATTTATGTAGTGAATAACATTTATTGATTTGTGTATGCTAAACCATCCTTACGTCTCAAAAATAAAGTCTATTTAGTTATGATGAATTAACTTTTTGATGTGCTGCTGGATTCTGTTGGCTAGTGTTTTGTTGAAAAATTTTGCATCTGTGTTCACCAGGGATATTGGCCTGTTGGTCTGTTGCTGTTGTGTATTTGATAGATTTTGGTATCAGGATGATTCTGGCTTCAACAAAAATTAGTTAAGAATGAGCTCTTCTTCCTTAATTTTTCAGAATAATTTCAATACAGTAGGTACTTGTTCCTCTTTGTATTTCCAGTAGAATTTGACTATGAATGCTTTTGTTCCAGTGCTTTTATTGATAGGTATTTCCTTTAGTACTGATTCAAATTTGGAACTTTATATTTGTATTCAGGGTTTCAATTACTTCTTTGTTCAATCTTGGATGGTTGTGTGTTTCCAGGAAAGTAAGAATGACCCAATTAATATATGATCCCTCTTTGCACACTAGTGAATGCCTGAAAATGACATAATATTAGAGCCCTAAATAGAACTCTGTCTACCACAAAGACATAATCTTCATAACACTGGCAATGACTGTGCCATTTGTGGGACGCTGAAAAGTTTTTATTATTTATTTATTTTTTACTAAATCCTTGATAATGAACTATCACTTCTTAAAATAGTGTTCTTTGTACCAAAGCTCAGTTTTATTGACCAATACCCTTGTTCCATAAAAGATTCTTCTATATTATTCCTAGTGAAAAAGACAGAACTGTAAGTTTGGCAGAACCATAGGCATATACATTTAAATTCTTCTATAATTCTTCCTTCAGTAATTGGTCTTTAGCATTAATAAGTTCAAGATGAACTTCCCTTAAACTTTAGCCTATATTTAGAACAGAATTTACTAAAGCCATCTATCTATATAAACTGTCCAGCTGATTAAAAATCTAAAATCACTTGTTCCCACATTTTCCACTTCTGTGCTATAAACAATAGTGGGGCATTCCATTGTGTTTAACCTCTCTTAGTAATAATATCATCTGTCATTATGTTCTTGGATTTTGTTTATGCCTGCTAAATTAAAATTTTGCTATCTCTATCTGCCTCTATTTTTCCTGGACTCAGTGCCATTCTCATGGGTGACTCCAGTTAAATTTTGATTCCTCCCAAACTGCTATATTATCTAAATTCTTTGGATAATTCCTCTTCAGGGCATGTCTCTGAAACTAAGAGAGTGTCCAAAAGAGTATGTCTTCTGCAGAGACTAAGAGTAAATGGAAAAGAATTATTAAAGAGGATCTATAGTGATAAGAAAATTATATACAGAGTTCTAGACACTAACTTCTTTTTCTTAATTTTAAAATTAAGAATAAACTAAATGTTCATTGTGAATTACATTTTCTTATGTAGAAAGAAGCTATTTTACCTTTTATCTGTTAAGCAACTGTATTTTTAGAATCTTCTTAAACTCTAAATATATTAGTTCGAACAAGTGAGACTTCTTTAAATATAATGCAATGTATTGGCAGCACTGTTCTGTATTAAAAATTTCTTATGTCGTATTTTATACACAACATTTCAGGTGTTTTATAACTGTAGTTGTTTGGAAGTAACTGGTATCCAGAACAGAAATTACTCAGCCCATTTGGGTGAATGCCCAAGAGAATATGCTTGTACAAGGAAATTTTACCCTTTTGTTGCAATACAAGTCTTTAATTTATTTTTTTCTGCACTTGGAGGTACCTCATTTATCATGCTGATTGTTAAGTAAGTATGACTTTTAAAAATATTTTCATATGCATAAGACTATGAACACACCTAATGATATACATATTTTTAAATAATATGCTGGGAACAAATTCATATTTTGTGAAATTTTAATTTTCTGAGAATTCATCTTATTAAAATTATTATGAACTCTCAATGCCATAATTAATAATTTTACCTCTAATTCTTCTATTAAGAAGTCCAGATTTCATACTTTCTTCTCTTACTAAGAATCTGAATACATAGACTGACAATTGCCTCAGTTGTAAAACAATCTCCCTAGGATTCTAAAAGAACCTTCTTGAATTTTGAGTTGCCTTTGATTCTAATGGATCTGTCAGGGGAAATCTATTGATTTCACTAAAATAGAGCATTGGAAAATTAGATATAAATATGTGCTTCATTTGATAATAACATTCCAAAGCTTTTAATTCACTTATAGCATGACTTTTAATCTAGTTTAAAAGCATGAGAAGAATTAATTCCTTTCTTGAGTCAATAGACAAGATACAATGCTTGATGAATATTACATGGTAAATGAAACCAGTAAGATACTTGTTGTCATACAGCTTTCAAAATTACAGGAAAGACTGGTGTGAGATAAATAATCTTAAAATCAAAACACATATTTATAAATTGTTCTGAGTTCTAATCAGGAAAAAGACTGCCCTAAAAAGATTTAAAAGGGAAAGTTAATTTAGGATTGAAATGGTGGATTGTGAAGAAGAGGATTCAGAGTATATCCAAAATAAGTAACATTTATTCTAAAGGTCTAAAGAAAAAGCTAAATGAAAGAGTTTCCAGGAGAGCGTCTGCATGCTATTGCCTTAACACAGGAAGGAGCTGGTGTGTTTAAGCAATGAAAAGAAGCTGGTAGATTTAAGCATACTGAATGAGAGGTTGTGACACATAAGATTGGAGAGTTAGGAAGGGTGCGTATAATGCATGCCCTACTGGCCAAGTTGATTCAATCACCTAAAACTAATAACATGTAAATAATTGCTCTAAGATCTTAAAAACATACGTATGTTTAAGTATAATGACCTGGGTTAACATCTAATTGTACTTTTAAAACCTACATTCAAAATACTTTTAAAATCACAAGTTCACTGTCTGCCAACAGTATGACATGGTAGAGAAGAAAAAAACAAAAGCTTTTTTAACATTTGTTAACATTAATATAAATCTGTAAATTGAATTTACAGTTGTTTAATTTTGATCATAACTGAAAATCTTATCAGATTATTTATACTAAATATTCCACAGATATAGCTCCATCTTAATATAAAATGTTGTCTACTCAAAAGGAGAAGCCTTCCATATTTGCCAAATTAGATTCATTAACATATTAAAAATAACCTTAAAATTAAATAATAAATTTGCATATCAACATGTTTTAGCTTTTTATTTTAAACTCATAAGAAAGTTTTTAAAAACACTATTTCATCATTGATAACAATATCATATCTATTTCAGAAATTGATTAAATCAGCATTACAACTTGTCAAAAAAATTTAACTCTTGATAGCCTTTGATTTTATTAAAAGAAGCAATTTGTGAACCTGACTATGGAATAAAATATAAACTTCAGTTTGTTAATGATTTTCTAATGCTTATACTATGAAGCTATTTTTTAAACTAGATTAAATAGGCATAAGGACATTCATTTATTTAACACATATTATGTGTGTCAAGCACAGTTGTATATATTGAGGATGCAACTGTGAACAAAAGTGATAAAACTTTTATTAGCTTTTAGTGGGGGTGGGGAATGAAGAAATGAATATGTGTAGCAGGAAAAACAATAAACAAATAAGTGAGTAAACATATAAAATGGAGTAAGTGTGAAGCACTAGAAAGATAAATAAGAGTTAAGAAAGATAAATAAGAGTTAAGAAAATAGAAAGAAATGAGAAAATAGGTAAGAGATACTAGTACAGATACTGTACAGATACTGTGCATTGGAAGTCCTTTGAGAAAAGACTTGAATGAAGAGATAGAAAATAAAGGTACAAGCCATGCTAAACAGAGATGGAGGAGAAAAATTCAGGCAAGATAGGACAAAGGTAAATGTCCTGGTGTGGAGCATAGTTAACATGTACAAGGTCTGAAAACGTGCGTGAGGAAGAAAGAAGTAACAAGTGCAGCAAGAGAGCTAGCCTAGTTCAGATCCAATGGGTAATAGGAAAGATGGGAGTTTATTCTAAATGTGTTGAGAAGCCCAAGGGGGTATAAGCATAAGTGTTAGCATTGCACAGATGACTTACATAACTAGAAGATCACACTGGCTGTGCATGGAAAGTGAGTTTTGTGAAAACAACAATGAAGTCAGGGAAAACAGAAAGCTTGAGTTCTTCACAAGATGGAAGCTTGACTGAAGATGGTGATGGTAGGAAAATATGAAGTAAATAAAATGAGGCAGGAGAATTGCTTGAACTCGGGAGATGGAGGTTGAAGTCACCCTAGCCTGGGTGACAGAGTGAGACTCTGTCTCAAAACAAACCATAAAAAAAAAATTAGAATCATATTTAATACCTTTGTGAGCCACTGTGAAATGAATTCAGAAGTCAATACTGAGAGGAACCCTCAGAAAGATATGAATAATGAAAGTTAAATAATCTCCTCTTGCATGTTTGCTGGGTCTATGATAAAATTAAGGAAGAAATTGGTTTAAACATTTCAAGTGAATGAAAATATAAACAAAACACCAAAAACCTCTGAGATACAGCAAAAACACAGCTAAGCAGAAAATTTATAGTGTTAAATGCCTACATCAAAAACATAGAAAGATCTCAAATTAATAACCTAATGTTATGCCTAAAGTAGAAAAACAAGGATAAACTATACTCAAAATTACTACAAAGAAAGAAAGAACAAAGATCAGAGCAAAAATAAGTGAATTTCAGACCAGAAAAAACTCAAAAGCTCAATGAAACGGAATTGTTTGTTTGAAAACCTAGACAAAAATGGATAAACTGCTACCTAGGGTAACCAAGAAGAAGAGAGAAGATTCAAATAAGCAGAATCAGAAATAATAAAGGTGTCATTACAACTGATACAACAGAAATGAAAGAAATGAAGAAGATCAGCAGAGACTATTATGAGCATCTCTACATTCACAAAATGAAAATACTAGAGGAAATAGATAAAATACTGGAAACATGCAACTTTCTAATTTTGAACATGGTAGAACAAAAATCCTGAACACACAAATAATGAATAGCAAAATTGAATTAGTAATAAAAATTCCCCAACAAGAAAAAGCCCAGGAACAGATGGATTCACAGCTGAAATATACCAGATATACAAGGAAGGATCAATACCAATCCTACTAAAGCTGTTCCAAAAAATTGAGGAGGAAGTAATCTTTCCCAACTCATTATGTAAAGCAAGCATCGCCCTGATACAATGACATCAAGGACACACACAAAATAGAAAACTACAAACCAATATCCGTGATGAATATATTAAAAAATTATCAATAAAATACTAGCAAATCAAATACAATAGCATATAAGAAAAATTTTATAACATGACCAAGTTGCTTTTATTCTAGGGATGAAAGTTTGGTTCAACATACATGAATCAATAAATGTGATTTGCCACATAGACAAAATTTTAAAACATATAATCAGATAAAATTTAAACAAAAACCACATGATCATCTCAATAGATGCAGAAAAAGTTATTTGATAAAATTTAACATCCCTTGAGTTCATGTCCTTTGCAGGGACACGGAAAAAGCTGGAAATCCTTATTCTCAGCAAACTGACACAAAAACAGAAAATCAACACTGTGTGTTCTCACTCATAAGTGAGTGTTGAACAATGAGAACATACGGACACAGGGAGGCAAACATCACACACCAGGGCCTGTCACAGGGTGGGGGCTAGGGGAGGGATAGCATTAGGAGAAATACCTAATGTAGATGACGAGGTGATGGATGCAGCAAACCACCATGGCACATGTGTACCTGTGTAACAAACCTGTACATTCTGTATATGTACCCCAGAACTTAAAGTATGATACTAAAGAAAAAGAAAAAAAAATTAACATCCTTTCATGACAAAAATCCTCAACAATCTAGGCATCAAAGGAACATACCTCAAAATAATAAAAGCTATATATGACAAACCCACTGCCAACATCACACTGAAAGGGAAAAAGTTGAAAGCATTCTCCCAGGACCTGAAACAAGACAACTATGTCTATTTTCACCACTCATACTGCACATAGTATGGGAAGTTCTAGATAAAGCAATCAGACAATAGAAAGAAGAGGTATCCAAGTTAGAAAAGAAGAAGTCAAATAAACTCTGTTCACTGATGATATGCAACCAAAGCAACAGAAATAGACTAATGGGACTTAAACTAAAAAGTTCCTGCACAGCAATAGAAATAATCAACAGAGTAAATAGACAACTTCCAGGATGGGAAAAAATATTTATAAACAATACATATGACAAAGGGCTAATATTCTTAATCTATAAGAAATACAAAAAACTCAACAAGAAAAAGAATATTTAAGATAGGGTACATAATATCACCAGTATTTTTCAAAAGACAGACAAGCAGTCAACAAACATATGACAAAATGCTTAATATTACTAATCATCAGAGAAATGAAAATTAAAACTACAATGAGATTGTATTTTACACCAATCACAACGGCCATTACTAAGAAGTCAAAAAGCTAAATACTGGTAAGAATGCTGAGAAAAAGGAATGCTTATATACTGTTGAGAATACAAACTAGTACAACCTTTAGGAAAAACAATGTGGAGATTTTTCAAATAACTGAAAATAGAACTATCATTTGGCCTGGCAATCCCACTATTGGGTAGCTACTAAAAGGAAAGTAAATCATTTTATGAAAAAGACTCATGCTTATGCACACTTATATAACACTGACTAGACCACAAAAAATCAATGTCTTCAGAGACATAATAAAGTCTGTTCTGATCACTTTCTCATACAATTTTCATACGTACCCATTAAGCCATCTGGAAACCATGATGCATTGAATAAATAAGGAAATTATTATCTCTCAAATGTTTGCCTTTTAAAACAATTAAAATATAACTTTATATAATGGAGCCATTCAACTGAGGGCTTAATTCTGTCATAAAGAAAAACAATACAAGAAAAGCTTTAATGTTGTTTCAGTTTGATACTTTAATGACATTTAATGTTTCTTTGCCTTTATTTTATTTCAGAATTGTTCAACCTGAATTGAAATCACTTGCACTGGGTTTCCAGTCAATGGTTATACGAGCACTAGGTATGATGAAAAAATATATATTTACATATATATTAAATTTAAATTATAAATATTCATGTCAAGGCTTAAAGACCAAATGTAATGAATCTTTATGATAGTATATAAAATTAGCATCATTTATATTTCTGTGATAAATAATAAGAGACAGAGTAAAATTGAGTGACCTAAAAAAGAATTTGATTAATTATAGGTTAAGTCAATCTGTTAAGACTAAGGAATTACTGTATTTGTATTGCACTCTTTCAAACACTAAGATAGATGCTTTCCTAAATTTTTCTTTTTTTCAAAAAAATAAGAATATTTCCTCCTGGTAGGCAGAGTGAAGGGCCTAACTTCTTAACTGAGGCATGATTTAGACAAGGCCTAAAGTAGCTTTGGAAGAGTGGGAATCTACCCGGGAGTCTGGTCAGGCAATGGTCAAATTGCAATGGAGAAATTGTCTAGGAAGTGTATTTGATGAGAAGGTCACAAATCCTCAAAGTTAAAAAGAAGAAATATAGAAGGAACAGAAGAGAGAAGATGAGACGCTGTAGTATTCCAGTGTTTTTTTTTTCTTACAATTCCCTTTTGTGTGTCTTTAATCTCCCAGCCTCTGTACAACCTGGCAGTTTTCTAACTTCAGATTCAATAGATACATCAGTGCTAGAACCTGGGTAGCAGAAGCTGAAAGTAATATCTGGGTTGTTCATATTCCTTCTAATACATAGAAATGAGCCTATGAGAATGGAGTAAATTTTTTTAGCAATAGAAAATAGAAAAAAAAAAAAAAGAATTTCACCATTCTAATTCTGAGTATCTTATTTTGATGTGTCCAATATGTGGCACAATGGAACCTAAATGCACCTATGGAAAAAATACACAGCTAGTACAAAACTTCCAATTCACAAGCAGTTGTCTTGAATACAATAAATGTGTGAATTGTGGAAGGCTTATATGGTGTATTTACCTGAAAAGTCACTTAGAAAACAGGTTATGAGTTTTTAAATTATAGTAATTAGGATCAAGTTTGTTACTTAAAACAATTCATTACATTTGTTCAAATCAGTGGCATTATGTGGGGAAAATAAATTGTTGGCATATATTTTTCATTTTTCAAAGGGTGGCTGTCATTTTTGAAACCTGAAAATGTCTCATGTATTTCCTCAGTACCAGTTTTTTTTCAGATACATTAGTCTCAGTCCCTTGTCATTCTAAGATTTCTTACTATGAAAAAATGAGACCGATGAAAAGTAAATGGAATAAGAAAATTGTGATATATAAATCACTATCATTTTTTACATGACAAAATAAATTCTAAAAATTATTCACCACAATACAAAAAAAGAACAAAGTAAAGTTATGCATACTTTAGTTCTACCATCTGAAGGATAGCTCTCTACTGGCATGTCCCTAAAATTCTTTATCAAACTACCTTTGCCTAGAACCAGGAGTCAATCTCAAAATTCATTACAACAGTAGTAGAAGCAGATGGACATTTATTATATAAACAACATACCTGTCTGTGAAAAGCCTCACATTCTGCAAAATCATTAGCTACAAATAAAAATTAAGGAAAAGACCACTGAAAACTTATGCATCATTGTGATCAGAACACTAACACAAACACAATTTAGTGTCACATGCCCTAATTTAGACAGCCTAAGCTGCTTCAGGAGGTATTTACAAATGTACCAAATCAATTGGTAGAAAATCGCTGGACTATCAGCTCTAATGACATCAAGAAGTGGGAAGTAGGAGTCTGAGCCCAGAAAAAAGTACAACCTGCCAAGAGCTAAGCATTCCCTGAAGCTCAGCCTATACTTATCTGGGGAGGGAGTTCTGATGAAGCATTCACTTTTAAATTCTCTTAAAATTGTGTTAAAAAAAAAAAAAAAAAAGTCTGCCTTTACAGCAGTTGAGCCAAGATCCTTTTCCTTTCCCCACAAAATTGTAATTCTACTCCATTTCAGCTTTCTTTACCTTTAAAAAAAAAAAAAAAAAAAAAATCCCATATTAACCAAGTTATGTTGGTTTGGGTCTTAGAGATTTCTAATAATCTTTATTATTGGGTAGATGCAGGATAACATAATAAAAGAATCCTCCAAATTTTTAAACTTCTAATTTATCAAAATGTATCAACGTGAAATATCACAAAGTTACATTTAAAATATGTTCCCTGGACTGACAACTTATCTTCTATTACAGGAGGAATTCTAGCTCCAATATATTTTGGAGCTCTAATTGATAGAACATGCATGAAGTGGTCTACCGACAGCTGTGGCACACGTGGATCTTGTAGGATATATAATTCCACATTATTTTCGTAAGTTGTCGTAAATATATTTCATTGATTTATTTTTTCTTTGACTACATTAATTCCTAAATAATATCATTTTATTATATAATATTAACAATGATAGCTGCCATTTAATGAAAACTTACTTTGAATGCAGTATGGTATCGAGCAATCTGGTATCTCATTTTAGTACTTATAGAAAGTACAGGAAATGAATATTTTCTTCTATTCCATTAAATATGAAGGAACTATGATTCAAGTATAATAACCAACTTGTCAAAAATCACAGGTAATAAAAAATGACTAGGATTTGTATGTGAATCTTTTTTGTTTCTAAAACTCTTCTCATATTAATATATATGGATAAATATACACATGTAAATATAGTCATATTTATATATATTCAGTTGCCTCTGACTTCTCTGGGAAAACATAAAATCACTAGCTGGGGCTCTGATCATATGTCAATTAAGAAAAAAACGGAAAATATGTTTCTATGTTACTCTATTCATGGGGAGAGATACTCCATAAGTGATATGAAGATAACTGCATGGACCTCTGAAAAAACAAAAAGGTGCAATTATACCTTACCTCTTAAAAAAACTAATGTCAAATTCATATATTGACAAATTACACATTTTTAAATGTCAAACTATATGTATTAAAACTCATAGTATAAATTCTTTCAGTTATCTAGGAGGAAGCAGAAATGCGTTTCTAAGTATGACCCAAATACTCAAAAACATAATAGAAAAAAAGATAAAATATTTGTAGAACTCTGCATCATTAAACTTTTAAAAAAGCAAATTCAAAATGGAAGTATAAATTAGGAGAAGAATTTGCAACTTGTAACACAGACACAGGCAAATATCCTAAATATAAAAGGAGCTCTTAGAAATCAGCAAAAACAACACCCAGTGCTGGCAAGGATGCAAAACAACAGGAATTTCCTTTCATGTTTCTTTCATTGCTGGTGGAAATGTAAAAGTAGTGGAGCCATGGTAGAAGACAGTCTGGAAGTTTCTTACAAAGCAAAACCTGGGCTTATTATATGGTTAAGTTATCATGCACCTAGGTATTTACCTAAGATAGATGAATACAAGTCACCACAAAAACCTGCACTTGAATATGAAGAAATGGAAGAAAGCAAGATGTCTTTCAATAGGTGAATGGATAACCAAACCGGGGTACATTCATACAATTGCAAATTACTCATAAAAAGAAAGAAGTGACCTGTCAACTTACCAAAAAAAAAAAAAAAACAAGAAAGAAACTAAATGTATGTAGCTAAGTAAAAGATGGCAGTCTAAAGCTTCTGAGGCCAGATGTGGTGGCTCACGCCTGTAATCCCAGCACTTTGGGAGGCCAAGGCAGGCAGATCACGAGGTCAGGAGTTTGAGACCAGACTGACCAACACGGTGAAACATTTTCTCTACTAAAAACAGAGTGTGAACCTGTAATCTCACCTACTCAGGAGGCTGAGGAGAGTCGCTTGAACCCAGGAGGTGGAGGTTGCAGCAGTGAGCAAAGATCACCCCACTGCACTCCAGCCTGGCTGACAGAGGGAGACTACATCTCTTGGCCTGGTGCGGTGGCCCAGGACTATAATCCAGGCACTTTGGGAGTCCAAGGTGGGAGGATCAATGAGGCCAGGAGTTTGAGATCAGCCTGGACAACATGGGAAAACCCTGTCTCTACTAAAAATACAAAAACTAGCCAGGCACCTTGGTGCACATCTGTAATCTCAGCTATTTGGGAGGCTGAGGCACAAGAATCCCTTGAACCCAGGAGGCAGAGTTTGCAGTGAACTGAGATCATGCCACTGAACTTCAGCCTGGCCAACAGAGCAAGACTCTGTTGCAAAAAAAGAAAAAAAAATTAAAAACAATTAAAGAAGCTTCTGACTATATTTTTCTAACTGTATGACCTTTTATAAAAGGCCAAACTATGAAGACAATGAAAGATCAGTGGTTGCTAGGAGCTCAGTGAGGAAGAGACAGAGATGAGTAGCTGGAGCACAGGGTGGTGAAATGATTCTGTATGATATTATAATGTTTGGTACACATTATATATTTGTCTAGCCTATGGACCCATATCCATACAACTACAAACCACATAAAAAGTGAACTCTAACCTAAAATATGAACTTAATAATAATACATTAATATTGTTCATCAATTGCAATAAAGGTACCACAGTAATACAAACTGTTAATGATAGGTGAAACTGCATATGTGGGGTGAGGAGTATACACAACTTCTCATACTTTCTGTACAGTTTTTCTGTAAATCTAAAATTTCTGTGAAAAGTATGTTCTATTAAAAAAAATCAAATATCTCCCAAAGAAAATAATTACTAATGGCTACTTACTCAGTTGATTGTTTCTTTTGTTGCATAGAAGCTCTTTAGTATAATTAAGTCTTGTTTATTTTTGTTTTTGTTGTATTTGATTTTAGGCCTAGGCCAATGTCCAGAAGAGTGTATTTTAGTTTTTCTTCTAAGATTTTCATAGTTCATGTCTTGGATTTATACCTTTTATTCATGTTCAGTTAGCTTTTGCATATGGTGAAAGGGAAGTGTTTACTTTTATTCTTTTGCTTATCCCTAGCCAAGTTTCTTAGCACCAATTATGGAATAGGTTGTCATTTTCCCATTGTTTTTTATTTTCAACTTTGTCACAGTTAAGTTGGTTGTAGGTTTGTGGCTTTATTTGGGATTTCTATTCTGTTCCATTGATCTATGTGTGTATATTTGTATCAGTACGATGCTCTTTTAGTTATGATAGCCTTGTAATATAATTTGAAGTTAGGTAATGTGATGCTTCTGCTTTATTCTTTTGGTTTAGGATGGCTTTGGTTATTCAGGCTCTTTTTGTGTGTGTTGATATGAATTTTAGAATTTTTTTAATTCTGTAAAAAAGATGACATTAGCAACTTAGTAGAAATTGCACTGAACCTGGTAGATTGCTTTGGGCGATATGGTCATTTTAATGTTATTGATTGTTTCAAGCCATGAGCTTGAAATGGTTTTTCCTCTGTGTCATATGTGATTTATTTCATCAGTTTTTTGTGCTTCTTCTTTAAGATAACTTTTACCTCCTAGGTTAAATGTATTCCTAGATATTTTATTTTTTGCAGATGGGATTAAGTTATTGATTTGGTTCTCAAGTTAAACATTATTGGTGTATAGAAATATTACTAAATTTCACACATCTATTTTATATTCTTAAACTTTACTGAAGTCATTTATCAGAGCTGGGAGTTTTTAGGTAGAATCTTTAGGGTTTTCTAGGCATGAGATTATGTCTTCAGTGAATAGACATAATTTGGTATCCTCATTTCCTCTTTGGATGCCTTTTATTTCTTTTTCTGGCAGCATTGCTCTGGGTAGGATGTAAGAGTGGTAAAAGTGGACATCCTTGACTTTTTCAGTTCCTAGGGGAAATGCTTTCAACATTTCTGTATCAGTCTATCTTTGAATGGCTATAAAAAACTACCTGAGACTCACTAATTGACAAGAAAAGAGATTTAATAGACTCACAGTTCTGCAAGCTGTACAGTAAGCATAGCTGGTGAGGCCCCAGAAAACTTAAAGTCATGGAGGAGAGTGGAAGGGGAAGCAGGCATATCTTCACAGGGCTGGCAGTAGAACATGACAGAGAGAGAGCAAAGGAGGAGATGTTACACATTTTCAAACAACTGTATCTTGTCGGGACTCTACCACGAGATAGCATTAGAGGGATGGTCTAAACCATTAGAAACTACCCCCAGAACCACCCTCTAATGATTCAATCACCTCCAACCATGCCCCACCCCTAACATTGGGAATTACAATTCAGTGTGAGATTAGGGTGGGGACACAGAGCCAAACCATTTCAATTTCCCTTTTCAATATGACTTTGGCTGTAGTTTTCTCATAGATGGCTCATTATTTTAAGGTATGTTTCTTCAGTGTTTAGTGTATTGAGGCTTTTTATCATGAAGCAATGTAAAATTTTATCAAATACATTTTATGTGTCTGTAAAGGTATTCACATGGTTTTTGTATTGAATTCTGTTTATATGGCATAAAATATCTATTGATTTGCCTATGTTGAAACATTCTGGCATCCAAAGAATAAAATATACTTTATTGTGATGGTATCTTTTTAATTTACTGCTGCATTTGGTTTGATAGTATTTTGTTAAAGACTTTTGTGTCTATGTTCATAAGGGATATTGGTCTTTAGTTTTCTTTTGTGTGTATGTTCTTGCCAAATTTTGGTATCTGAATGATACTGGTTTTGTAGAATGAGTTTGAAAATAATCTGTCCTCCTTAATTGGAATTGTTTTAGTAAGATTAATAACAGCTTTCTTTTGTACATCTGATAAAATTTAGCTGTGAATTTGTCTGGTCCTGGGCTTTTTGGTTTGTTACATATTTTATTACTGAATTAATTTTGTAGCTTGTCTTTGGTCTGTTCAGTATAACAATTTCTTTGTGGTTCAATCTTGGAAGACTGTGTTTCCAGGAATCTATTCATTTCCTCTAGGCTTTCTAATTTGTGCGTGTAGAGATGTTCATGGTATTCTTTAAGAATATTTTATTTCTATGATGTCAACTATAATGTCACTTTTGTTATTCTAATTCTGCTTATTTAAAGCTTATTTTTCTTGATTAATATGGCTAGTGGTCTATCAGTTTTGTTTATTTTTTTCAAAGAACCAAGTTTCTGTTTTATTGACCCTTTGTATGTGTTTATTTTTCTCAATTTCATTTTATTCTGCTTTGATATTTATTATTTCTTATCTTCTGGATTGATTTGTTCTTGTTTTTTCGAATTCCTTTAGGTGTGTTGTTAGGTGGTTATATGAGATCAGTATATTCTTTGATTTAAGTGAAACGGCCCAGTGATTTCACCTTGCCCATTGCCTAGACAAAACTGATATATCAAGATAGAGGAATTGCAATAAAGAAAGAGTAATTTATTCAGAGCTGGCTACACAGAAGACCAGTTTTATTATTACTCAAATTGGTCTCTCTGAAAA